AATGTAGTGGTCAGCACGCTGGAGGCTTATTCCAGAGGTCGGTGGTTCGATTCCCGGCGAAGGCGTTGCTCATTTTTAAGACTTATGTTTCCAAAAAATACCTAATGTCTCTACAAATTACGGTATGGCATGTTATGTGATGGCATGGTATTGCCCTTCACGACGTTTCTGGTGAGTTAATTAAAATAATAAAATACAAAAACATTCAGCTCTTCTTGATTTACAGCTATATTGGCTGGAAAATACAACAATTTTACAAACTACAACACCAAATTATATCAGTGTTAATACAAAGGAGATAGCAATAGCGTGGTCTCTATCACTACTGCTGCACTGCTGCTGGTAAAAATTCTAAAACTGCTCAAATTGCCATAAAATATGTATCAGCCACTGAAGTTAAAGAGTACCTGACTAAATGAGGAATAAAAGGAAAACACAAGAGTAACTTTTGTGTATATTATACGCATTCATAACCTTTTCACATTCATTTTTATGCAGTTAAAAAAACTTCATATTTTATCCTCTACATGCTAAAAGCTGATGTAAAATGCTAATTTAGATTCTCTTATCAGATTTTAAATTATTGCAGTATTCGGAATTAAGAGAAAACTGAGAATTTTCTAATCACAATGCATTCTTAAAGAAACTACAACAATAAAAGGGCGAAATAACATAAACAAATATATTGAAGAGCTTAAATATACTATTTTTCAGATATTACTATTGTGTTGCGATTCAAAGTAATGCCATAAAAAATCATATTTTATTCATAACAGGTGACTTTGTTTGCAATCTGAATAGTCACTTAAGTCTTCTGTGATATGAATTGCTCGTTCTTGAGAGAAGATATTAATTTTTGAGCTGAATGCTTCATTGTTAGAAAACTATTTATTGTAAAAGGAAGACTAGGCAAGCACTTAATTTAAAGAAAATCACATTAAGTTCTAACTGTATGAAAAGTGTCCGATCACATTTATAAGAAATTGTGAATACTGAAAAAACGTATGCAGTTGCGCTCCATTTGTTTGATCTGACTGGGTCGGAGCCATTTTGGGTACCATTATTTTCACTGTAACCAATGATTAAGTTCCTTTCCATAAAAAATTTAAATGTTCTAATTTTATGGCCGACATTTTAACAGCATTATGTTAAACAATGAATACATTCTGTATAGAACAAATTAAAAAAATGTTTCCTAACTTTCTCATATCTTTCTTAATTTGTATTTAAATAAACAAATAAAACAAGTTGTTTCATCAGGTTGTTCATCAACAAACAGGTTGTTGTTTATGTTGTATAAAACAACTTATTTTATTTGTTGTGACTATTTGTTTTATTTGTGCACACATGGTGACTGCTCATATACCTCTAATCTGAAAGAGTGTTTTGAAATAGTACTTAGTAGCTGTAGTTAACAGATACCTTTTATTTTATTCATTACATAATGTTCAATTTGGTAAAGAGATTTGCCACTGAGAAAAAACACATAAGACAAATGGAAACATTCTCTATGTAGTGGTTATATAGTTTCATAACGTTCAAACCTGTAACGAAATTATAAATTCCGTCAAATACGTAATAAAATAATTGAAACCTGAAATTTTCGATTTGAACATATGCTGTAGATATAAAGAAAAGAAATGTACGTAACGCGCAATAATCATTTCTTTTTCACAGTCCTTTTCTTTAATATTGAATGTCATATAGGAGTAACATTTATAATTAGGGCTCTGTCAAATGAAAGGTACAAGAATTAAATTTGTGCTAAATTTTCATAAAGATGACATAATTTTTCAAGGAGCTTTCATTACACGAACTACTACAGTACTTACCGGATAAATTGTTTTTCACTTCTAAAGGAAAAAACTGTTAATGAAATAAATAATGAAGTAATGTTTATAGATATATATCAAGCAAAAATATGAAATGTTACATGTCTACTGCTGTGATAAGAAAATTATTATATTTAGCATCTTTATTTGGGATGTAATGTATTTCGATGTAATACTCCATTCTTTTCCATATAAACGTCTCTATAAAGCGGAATGAATTTTGCCTCGTGTTGTGTAGGATGCATTTCATCCATCTCAAAAGCGCCTCATTTGTTCCTAGTCGGCTGCTTTGAAGATGGTATATTGTGATGTAATAAAGATAAAAGTCGTTTAAAAAGTCAAACAATAAGTGAAAATAGATATTTTCCTAACAATACACGCTTCCTAATAATGCCTCAGAAGAATCAGATTTGGAAACTGATTCTGAAAAAAATGATCAGTGGCATATCTAAAGGGCTATAGTTATAAGTAATTCGAATATTATTACAAAATATTTTCTTTAAAATACAAATATTTCAGTTTTTCATTATTTAATTTTCTTCCAATCTAGAATATTTTTCTTGGTTATGTTAGCAAGACTAAAATTACAGGCTGTAAATCGATGACGTCTCAAAATCTAAAAGAAAAAAAAAAGAAAAGAAAAAGAAAAACGTAAGAAAATAATTTAAATCAAACTTATTTCGTTACTTACATTTATGTCGGATGTGCCATTTTTTATTATTTGAAATTTTAAAAGCTGATTCGTCTCCAAGCCAAACAAAAATTTTCAAAATGGAAAAGGAAATAAGCTATTTTATACGAGTTAAATATATGGAATGGAAATTCGCATTTTAGTGCATAGTACAGGTACTTTTTATTCGTGGAATTCTTTTATTTACTAGAAATAAGAATTTTGACTTTACCAAGGATAGCTTACACGAATATACCAAAGATAACTTGGTATATTCGTGTAAGCTAATATTTATTCCTTTCCGCTTATCCGATCAGGTAATGGCCAAAATATGTTATCTAGTTGAAAAAAAAAAAGTCACCCTATCACTCTACACGATTGAAATGCATCTCAGAACAAATTTTTTCTCTCTTTTACGTATTTCAGAAGTAAGTTTTCCATTAGATTCCAGATTTTATCCTATACGTGCTGTAATAAAAGCGTTTAATTATCTGGAATCCGCATGAAAATATTTAGTGAAGTTTAATTAATTAAATTATATTTAATGATTAAAATATGTTTTAATACTCTTATTTATAAGATAAATTCGTTATATTATTAGATAAGCCAATTTTTAACCGTATGTGTTATTTAAGGTCAAAAGTAAATTACTTATTTTCGCAGTAATATCCTGTTTGACGTTTAGAATTATACAGAGTCGTAATAGTTTACATTTGTAGCCATTTTGTGTTACATCACTTAGATCATAATTTCTTGAGAACACATTCTTTTAGCTTTATTTCAGTATTTGGAATTTCATTAGCAGAGATAAATGTTTCCTCTTTTCTTGTGAACAGCTTGTTTAAAATGTCATATTTTGTACCTGATTTAAATAAATTTTCATTTTAAAAGAAATTATAACAGCTGTAATATTCTGATGATCAGCTTTGATTCAATCTTTATTGTATTAACTTACGTATAACAGTTTCATATGTACTGCGATCTCTTCCAGAGGGATATTGTTTATTTTTTTTCTGACTATTTCTTTGTATTAGACATACATCTGAAGCATTTCGATAATGTATTTTCAGTATCTTATTTTGCTCTTTGAATTGAGCCTTGTGAATGACTAGGTCTTGGCCTTTTCATAAATTCTATTAGCAAATTCCAGGCCAGTGTTCTTTTAAGAGGTGCACGATGCAGAAAACAGTGTAAATACATCTAATGATGGGAAACAACTTGCTTGGCCTTTTTTTAAAGTCTTTAACTAATTTTGTTTAATCGTTTCGATAAACTATTACAATCTCCCATCGCTTGTGACTGCATTTAACATCGCGAATTGAAATCACTCTTTTGTACGGATTTAACAGCCAGACGTTTGTGTTTTTGGAATGCTTTGTTTATTTTAATAAGATTCATAATGTCTTAGCACAGCAGTTTCTATTGTAATGTCTTCATACTTTGCCTTTGTTTTCTTAGTCTGTTTGCCATTCATGTGTTTAGTTGTTAGATTATTCTGTTTTCCATTCATGTGTTTGCAATATGGATCACACGAATTATTTGAAATTTCGCCACCATAAAAGTTTTATATACAATATATATTTTTTTCTTTTTTAAGTCATACGATGCATTTTTCAAAACTTTGAGCTCTTTCAATATTGTATTTATCTTAGTATCTGGTATCCATATGGGAATTTTCCGGGAATAAATTTACTTCCCCTTAATTTTCGCCCGAAACAAATTGTGCAATTCTTTTTATTTTAAGATGTTAACATGGCCCACCAGCGGGTAATTGGTAAAGTCCCTAACAGCGGTAGTTTGGTCAGAGGTTCGAATCCCGGCGAATAGGCTGGCTGTATCGGCGCTTTCGTGGTTTTCTCCATGTGTAATATGGATACGAGCCACTTTCTCTTAGAACGTCCTCTTTTCTTTAGTATATTCTACTGTGTGCGTCGCGATAATCAAATAAAAATTTATGTTAACACTTGCTAAATCGCGTTTTTCTGACATATAAATCACCCATAATGTTTTATGGTTAACGTAAAATTAGTGTAAATGCAAAAACAGTTATACAGGTATTAGAAACTAACAGAGAAAGCAACATCAAATTTGCACTACAGAACATCTAGAATAATCTAAACTGTCCAATGCTCTGACACAGTGTATTTACTAACACACGTACGTATGTGCAATGGCTATTAACTGAATGCATTAAAAGCAACGTTTGCCATTTATAGTTGTAAAGCAATTAATAATCACCATTTCAAGCGTTTAATTCTTATACATTATTTACTTTTACCTGTTGTTATAATAATTAGCTTTTATTGAAAATAATTAATTACTTGACATATACAAAATCTTATTTAGTTTGTATTATAAAATAAAAGTGTATTGTAATGCTTTGTCGTTCCGGTTTTGATAAATAGCTGTACAATTAAACATATCGTTAATTTACCAGAATAACTAACATCAGAAATACAGTACAATCTAAAACCATACACGGACAGCTAAACTATTACCTGTAAGGAAGTCACGTATTGTATTTCATAGATGCGCCTATTCTTTGCAGAAATAAATAAAATGTTGGATCTAGTCTGCTTGCCTGGCAGCAACCAGCTAGCATCTTACTTCTGGGCGAGGATCTCCTTTCAGAAACTCTTGTGAATGATAGGTAGGAAGAAAAAATGCATTCTCATCTCTTCTTATCCGGTTGCCCGGAACATGCAGGGAAATGTTTTTGTGTTTCAGCGCGTAGTTCGCAAGCGAACAGCTGGCAAAAATCGAACGCGTTTCTAAGATAACTCCGCTCCCAGCTCACAAAGAATGAAGAGTGAGGAAAATGCGTTTATGCAGTACAGTACTCGAAAATAAGTCATTGTTTATGAATAAAGTCATGTTTCCGTAAATCCAAACTAGAAACTGATAAAATGGTATTTTTATCTAATTCTCATGGTAAACGACACCTATATATCACAAAATAAAAATTCGGAAGTTAAAGTTCACTCAAGTGCTTGTTTGCTACCTTTTATTATTTAATACTTTTAATGTTCCTTGGACATATCATGGCTAGGTATGTGCAAACTAAATTCATTCAAATTTTAAAAGTAGATTCAATAATTTCTATGAATAAAATAAATTTTTGTATATTATGGAAAGTAAATATGAAGTCGAGATTTTAAAGCATTAATAATGTTCTTCCGCATGAACTTACTTCTAAAATACAGTCTCTTAGGAAAAAAAAAAAAAAAAAAAAACGCACCAAGAAAGAGTTATCTGAATAGGACGAAAATCGGTAGAAGTGATGTACATGTACAGAAAAACAAATGATTACAGTTTGAGAAAAATTGGATGATTTATTGAAGTGATAGAATTTCACAAAGTGAAAAAGTCAGTAACGCGTTTGTCCACCTCTGGCACTTATGCAAGCAGTTACACGGCTTGGCATCGATTGATAGAGGTTGCGGAGGTCCTCCTGAGGGATATCGTGCCAAATTCTGTTCAACTGCCGCATTAGATCGTCAACATCCCGAGCTGGTTGGAGGGCCCTGCCCATAATGCTCCAAACGTGCTCAATAGGAGAGAGATCCGGCGACCTTGCTGGCCAAGGTAATGTTCGGCAAGCACTAAGGCAAGCAGTAGAAACATATGCAGTGTGGGGGCGGGCATTATCTTGTTTAAATGTAAGCCCAGTGGGCGTGACATAAAAGGCAGCACAACGGCCCTTAGAACTTCCTCGATGTACCGCTGTGCTGTAAGTTTGCGACGGATGACAACCAAAGGAGTTCTAATATGAAATGAAATGGCACTCCAGACCCTCATTCTTGGTTGTCGGCCTGTCTGTCGGAAGACAGTCAGGTTGGTATCATACCGCTGTCCGGTGCGTCTCCAGACTCGCCTTCGCTGGTCATCGGGGCTCAGTTGAAGACAGTAACAATATAGTTCCAGGTTGAAAGACAAAGTTTATGACAAAACGAAGATCAATGTCAGGTCGAATGGCATATTTTCTGGGAATTAGCAATATATCAAACTGCATGAAAGATAAAAGAAAGATCATATACCGCCTGGAATGGCAATGTTTTCCAAGATGTTACATTCGCAAAAACGTAACAATCTAGCTTCAAAATTAACTTTCATTAAAGTTTTCAGCAAGCAGTCATAATTCAAAAATATTTGATAACGGCCAACAGTATCACGCTTATACAAAGGTAAATTTTAAATACACCTCACACAAATGGAATCTGATCGTAAATTCAGCTAATGCAAGAAACTTAAACTCATTCATAAATTTTCAATCTAATTATTTTATCACAGTTCATTCAACAAAAAATATCTTGTTTCTTTACTTTTAGCAATAAAGTAGTTTTAAAAAATTTCCATCTTGTTGAAGATAACTTCTGTAAATTCTGAGGATAACAATATGTAAACTATGTCAGATATTTCAAATGAATCAATTAATTTGCATTCCGAAATAAATCTTGAAACACTACGAGCTATAGTTTGTATTTTCCATTATGCTAATTTGTTAATTTTAGAGTTAAGAAAAAGGTGTTTCAAGTAACATTTTTCATTTGCTAAGAAACTGTGATAAAGTCTTAGACGAAATCTTAAATATTTACCAGATTTACTGAGCACAGTGTAAAATTTTTAATTAAAACTTGCCCACTTATTGATAGTTTTAAGTGATTGCAACCGCTCGACAACTTAATTAAGCAGAAATAATTGCAATTGAAATAACTGCTTCGAACATGAATGAATTACCAGGCGTAGGAAAATTCACTTCTTTCCCAGCTTATAAGATATTTGATTAAAACTGTATACATTTGCAAGCGTAAATTACACCCTATTCTAACTATTCGTTAAAATAATTGAAAGCATCAGGATGAAATGAAGGATGTGCATTCCATCATTTTGCAAAAGTTATTGGAATATGCTGTCCTCTTAAATTAAAGAGCACTGTAAGATGTCGTAGCATTGTTCGTTTGAAAGACACCTAAGAATAAAGTATATAATATTAGAGCTTTTTAAAGATTTATGCCATGAAAAACAAATTTTGAAAATATGAAAGTATAAATTAATGTTCGTTTACAATATTTTTGAAACAATGAATAATTGAAATAAAAAGTGGCTAATACAATATAATAAACATACAACTGTATTAATTGCCTTTCAGCGTAAAATATAAAGGCTCTGGAATTATTTCATCTCAACAGCATAAATTTTAATGTCAATGTTCATAAAAATCCGGATTTGATATGAATAGACTATTTTAACTGTATTGAAGAATTGGCCGTCGGATATGAAGTGCAACACGTAATGTTGCAAATCGTAATGTTTATTTCTCAGTATCTTCTACAATTAAAAAACAGCGATTTGTAGATTCTTGTTTAGGTGTTAAAAGGTTTAAATTAAAATTCTAACGGAAATTTTCAGACATGCAGACTTTTATTTATTTCCTATGTTGAAATTTTTAGTTAGGGTCCGAGACTTTGACGCTTCTGAAACAGTCTAATGAGTGGTCTAACTTCTAAAACATTCGTCTGTTGAAAACTGCCTTTGATAAATAAGAAATACTTATACTGGTACAACGCATGAAAAAAAAAAAAAAACATTACGACAGTCCCGCTCTTAACTTGAAAAATTGTTAAGAATACGGAGTCATTTATTTTATCTATCTAATGAAATCTTGGAAAGCATGAGTATGAATTAATTAATAATCTCCCCTTGTGAAAATATGTTTCGCTTTAGCATTTGCTAATTAAGCATTCATTGCAAACGGCCCAATCCACCGGTCATTTAGCGGTATTATTACGAAAAGCTGTCTAAGCATCACGGTGGTTAACCAGTTGTTAATCTAGTAAGTTGTTTCCGTCAGCGGGGCTACCTGGCCGATATGCTCACTACCCAGTGGACCGGCTGCCTCGCTGTCGGTGGAAAGAAAGAAAGAAAGTGGTTAACCAGTAATACACCCACAAGGAGCAGGAATGATACTCTGACATTCAAATTCGTACACAGCAATTTGGAAACTACCACCGCGAACTAGTATACCAACTAGGTCGGCTCTTGAGGAAACACTTGTATTTATATCATAAAGCTTTAAATCTACTTTTAGATTCTTGTTGTTATTATTACGACTAATTACGCATGTCTGATATCAGAGAAATCCCAAGAAATTCATCGTGGCAAGAACAAAAGATTGTGCATGCCGCTTGCGACAGCCTTGGGCACCATACAGGTGAAAATACCACTTTGCTCAGTTCTGTCCCCAATTCTGAAGGAGAGTACTTTCGAAGATCCGAAGGTCTTCCACCCCTCTTTCCCACCTACCAACATTTCGAGAGGACTTTCCGCTAGTCGCATATTTAGATTGACCCCCCATGCTGCACAGACACTATACATTTACAAACATATGTGCCTTCTATGGTATTCGAACTCGGACCCGTCGGTACGGCAGTCAACCTCGCTAACCACTACTTCGGTTGGGCGACACTTAGATTTTTCAACCAGATAATATTTTGAACATAGTAATGATCATATAAAAGAAAATTCTGCGAGTTTATGTCCGTTTTAATTAACAAAATGTGCAAGTAAATGGACATGCTTTAATTGAAATTTTTACGTAATGCTCAGTATGTTTGCTAAAGATCCAAAACAGTTTTTAAGATTTTATCATTTGAAGGAAAAAAAAATCTGAATGCTTTCAGGTTTTATGTTAAACCCAGAGGCGCATTTTTTCCATTTTCACATACGTACACGTTTCCAGAGCATTTGGGCTAACCCCATCCTTTATGCTAAAATATTTAAAAACGGCTTATCTTTAGAACAGGGTTTCTTAAACTTTTTTCAGTCGCGACCTCTTTTTATCATTGAGAATTTTTCGCAACCCCAGGACCTCATAATCTTTATAAAAATTTTGTGGCACCCTATAAGTATTGCGCAAATCCGACACACGCGTGAGTGAAATTGTCAATTTTTTTTCATTTGCACTATAGTATACTATTGCAGTTTTAGGTCAATAACTTTAACTTAGAACACTGTGAAAATTTTAAATAAGTAACAAACGAAATGACAGCGTCACGTGCAAAGGAAGGAAAATGAACGTTTATATTATAAAAAGAATGCGTCGAAAAGTATTCATTTTTTTCTTTGTCTGTATTGTCTTATATTTTGTTTTGTTTTGTTTTGTTAGGGCGTAGCCCGGTCCACCTTGCAAAACAAAGTTTGCCCTATGAACCTATACGAGCTACGCTATATTGTCTTATCTTTATCTATTTTCAGATACATTGTGTAAAAATATTTGGTAACTGTAAAATTATTATAATAAGAAATATCGAAACTGCTAAAACTTTTAGCGACCCCATGCTGCAGGTCCCCCGACCCCCTTGGGGGTTGCGACCCACAGATTAAGAAAACCCGCTTTCGAATATCCGATTGATAGTCTTGCGCGTTCAAGATAAACATGTTTTATTCCGTACAGTGTTGCCACTGCTCGCTTTGAAATCATTGATTTTTTTTTTAAATCAACAACTCGTGAAAGTTATATAAAATATGAAATAGATAATAAAACAAATTTCAAATTCTAAATTTGGGTTTTTAAATTCGTAATTCAAATTTGTACGTCGTTCACAATTTGATGGCTCTAGGTACCTTTGTTTTATCCCAATGCGAGAAACATGCATACA